AATGTTATTTAGATGTCGGTTAGGTCCAACTGGTTGACAGCATTGTTCATATCTTCTATATCTTTGCTAACATTCTTTCTTCTTCTACAAATGACTAAAAGTGAGATATTGAAGTCTTCAACAATAATTGTTGAATTACCTATTTCTTTTTGAACTTTGTTAGTTTTTCCTTCATATATTTTGGAACTCCGTTATTACACATGTATACATTTATAATTGCTATACGTTCATAATGTATTGACCTTTTTATCATAATGAAATGTCCTTCTGTCTCTAGAAATAGTTCTTGTCATAAAGTTTATTTTATCTGATATTTATATAGCCACTCTGGCTTTCTTATATTTTTTCCATTTTCTAAAACATATATTTTTCCATTCTTTTACTTTGAAACTATTTGTGATCTTAATCTAAAGTATGTCTCTCGTAGACAAAATTACAGCAGGATTCTGTTTTTTTAATTCAACCTGACAATCTCTGGGCTTTGGTTGGAGTGTTTAGTCAATTCTCATTAATGTGATTATTGATATGGTTGGATTTCCATCTGCCATTTTGCCGTTTGTTCACTGTGTAGCTCATGTTCTTTTTTGTTCCTCTTTCCATCCTTTACCACCTTTTTTTGGTGTTAAACAAATATTTTAATTCCTCTGTTGATTTTTTAAAGATATTTTCTAAGAGGTTGCTTTAGGAATTACAATAAACACAATCTGCTTTAGGTTGATACTGACTTAACACCAGGAAAATATAGCAACTTTGCTCAAATATAGTTTCATTTCCTTCCCTCCCTTTTATAATATATTATTGGAAAATGTATTGACGCTCTATTATTGTCATATATATTACATCTATATGTTATAAGCCCAACAATATATTATAGCTATTGATTTATATAATTTTGTTTTTTAAATAAATTAAGAGTAGAATATTAAAGAAATCTACTTGTACAGTCTTTTATAATTACACACAAATTGATCATTTCCAGAGCTCTTCATATCCTTTCCAGTTATCTCCTAGTGTTATTTCGTTTTAGGTAGAAAGAGTTCCTTTAGTATTTCTTGTAAGGCAGGTCTACTAGCAATGAATTTTCTCAGTCTTTGTCTTGCTAGGGATATTTTTAGAGCCTTTATTTTTGAAGAATAATTTTGCTAGATATAGCCAACTCAGATCTACTGGTAAGCCCATCTTATGAGTTTTTCATTTTGTTATTTTTGTTTTTTTTTTCAACTATAGGATTTCTACCTGATTCTTTTATGTAGTTTCAATTTCTTTGTTGTTATTTTCCTATAAGTTAGGTCACTATCCACATATTTTCTTTTAATTCTTTGGACACAATTATACCAGTTGCAAAGTAGTTTTCTACAAAAAATTCAATATCTGGGCCCATTCAGAATTAGTTTCTACTGACTGTGTTCTCTGGAGTATGGGGTCCTACTTTCCTGTTTCTTCACCTGTCTCATATTTTTTTGTTGTTGAAAATTAGACATTTTGTAGAATATATTATAGCAACTCTGAATTCTGGTTTTTATTCTGAGTCTCATATGTCATTTTTAATTTTTCTGGAATTGTCTATTTCATATATTTTTTTAAAATTTATTACCATATACTCAGAGAACCCAAAATTTCTTTTGGAATATTAAAACTTAAAAGAGTGTAAAAGAGTAAAAATTTCTTCTATTTTGAAGTAAAGTGTTTCATTATTTTTAAAAAGGTATTTTTCTAAAGGAGTTTCTAAGGTAATATATGATACAGCTATATGCAATAGAAAATAATCGATACCATTTAAAAAAAGAATAAAAAACTTCTGTGTGTACTAATTTGGAAAGATGTCTAAGATCAAATTTTAAATTTAAAAAACCAAGATGCAGAATGGTATATATGGTGTGCTACCATTTATATATGTGCTGCCATTTACATGTATGTATCTAAATTATCTAAGGAAGACAGTGTGGTTGTTGGGAGAAGTGGATGGCTGAGGAATAGGAGTGGGAGGAAGAATTTTTACTCTCTTATACTCTCTGGAATTTTCATATTTGAAAAGAAATTTAGATAAAGCCTTATAACTTATAATAATGAACATTTAATAAGTACTCATGATGTGTAGGCATTTTGTAACTCATTGAGTCCTCACAATAATTTTAAGATATAGTACTTTTTTAAGCCCCATCTTATAGATGAGGAAACCAAGACATAGACCCCCACAAATCTGGGTGTCCAAAACTCCTAAGCCAGTAAATGGTGGAAATCAGTTCTGGGGCCCAGGCTCATAAAAAACTGTATAATATGTGGCACCATACACAGCTTCCTCTTCTTCATGTGTCACTCTGAACACAGAAGTCACTGGTTAGTATACATAGCCTGTCTCAGAAGACTGTAAATTCTATGAGGAAGGGCTTTTCATTTTTAATATGACTCACATAATAGATGCTCAGTAAATATTTTTGAAAAACATAATTAATCCTTGGATTTTTTTTTTTTTTTTTTTTGCACTGTGGTGTAAAATCTGTATTTCCTCATATCACCCTGGAAAAGACATAAAACACATTTCAAAAGGTTAGAGACTCTATAGAATGTTCTGATCTTTTTATTAATCTCTAGAAGTTTTCTGACACCCTCTTGCTTCTATCTCTAAGCACACAGCCTTCTCAGAGGTGTGTCACTGGGAAATATAATTTGTGTATAAGTTGTGTATACACAACTCGTGCTCAGGCACATTTGTGCACGTGTTAAGGGTTAAAAACCACCAAGTTCTTCCGGCTCCCACACTGTTGTCCTGGCTATACTCTCAGGCTTCTCACCTGCCTATGCCCGTCTTCTTCCCCTGCTCCCTGCTCCAGTTAGAGTCCAAAAGTCACAGAGGTTATCTATTGAAACACAGTGAATCATTACTCACCTATTCTAAATGTGTTTTCCCATTAAAGCATCTCTGAAATTAGAGGCTTAATACAGCCAATGATAAGAAAGCATTGTGTCATTATTTAATTGTAATTTTTTTTCTTTCTTCGTGAACTATGCAGCTTCTCACAATAGTTGGCATGTTAGATTTGGTGAAATACAGTTGGCAAAAGGACAAGTAGAAGTTCAGTTCCTCTGAGAACTGATGCTCAACTCAATTTAGATTCTATACTTGTCTTTCTGTGTATTCCCGTCACTCAACTAATCATAGTGATTAAAAACAGCTCCTAAATAGCTCTTGTTATATGCCACACACTAAACAGACTACCTCTCCTCTTTACAACAACCAGGAAAGATAATTTTCTTTGTTTACAGAAAGGAGCAACTCAGGGTTAAAGAAGTCAAGTAACCAGGCCTTGCTTACGTGCTCTCATTCCAGCCAAATGTGTGGTCCATCTAATCTTTTCCTTATTTAAAAACATTTTCCTGGGGCTAAAGGGTATACATGGATTCCTCTTGAAGTCCTCCCATCAGTGGCCTCCGTTCCTCAGTCTGAGTCACATATTATTACAACAAACAATGACTAGTTTCCCAAGTGTCCTGAGGTTATCAGCATGAGGACACGTGTAGTTGCAGTTGTGTGCTCTGCACAAATCGTAGAAAATACTATGTGGGCTGCATCTTCAGGGGAAGTGGAGAGCAGCTGGTTGGTGCAAGATGAGAAGGAATAAGGAAGAAGCAGGCAAATGGTAGCAGAGCCTCACCTAGCTACAGAAGGATTCTAACTCAAGACGGGGAACCATTGGCCAACTGCCTGGGGAACCACAGGCAGTTTCCATCAGCAATCTTGGTAAAAGATCTTCTAAAATAATGACATTAAATATTCTCCTTATGTTTATGAAAATTTTTTCATGTTCAATACATTGGCTCATTACTTTCATACACTGCTAGGGAGAGAAAAATATTTCTGGAAGGCAATTTCGCAATGCGTTTAAAGAGAGCCTAAAATTGTTGTCATACCCTTTGACCAAGAAATTCCAATTTCTAGGAGTTTATACTGGGGAAATCGCTGGAGAGACACACAACTATTTCAGTGCTAGAGTGTTTATTGCAGTGTTGTTAAAATAGCCCCAAAAGGGAACCAATTTAAGGACCCAAATAAAAGGGAAAAACTTAAATTACTTATGGTATCTATTTACAAATAATTGCATTTGAAATAATTGCAGCCATTAAAAAAATAATTTTAAGACTGCTTAGTCCAGGACATAAGATTGAGTGAAAATAGGTTATAAACAATATGTATAATGTGATCCAATATTATTGAGTTTATTTATATGTAAAGAAAGCCTGCAAAGAAATATAATAAAATATTAATATTAGCTATGTCTAGATTTTTAATATACTTTTCAGAACTTTCCAACAAATTTTATAGTAAAAATATATTACTTTTACATTCAGAGAGAGAAAAAGACATCTAAAAAAATTGTTTGCTTAATGTTGATAACATGAAAATAACTTTCTTCAAGAAGGATGTTAGTTCTTCTCGGTTAGTAGGTTTAGAGAAATTGTTTCTATGATTAAAAAGAGAAAGTCCCCGTGCATTTACTGCAGAGCAAACATTATTAAATAGACTGGGATAGGGAAGGTTAACGCTTATCTAATTCTGTAGATCCACTCTGTTCTCATCCATAATAATCTCTTAGGATCTTCAGAGACAATCTCCTGGACAATGAGAAATGAGCATTATCTGTCTCACAGATAAGAAAAACTTCTACATAGATAATTCTTTTTTTTTTTTTCTCTAGACTTAGCAGCTCAATAAAATCTTATTCTTTGAGATTCTTTTCCACTGTGTTGACCTTGTTGGTTGTCTGTAGGCTATTTAGAGAATCCCCGAAGTAATACAAGACTCTAACATTTGTTCCAGAAAACCTTATTTCCTGAGATCAGTAACACAACAAGTTCATGGAAGCTGTTTTTCTTGGCTGGGCACAGATTCTTGCATTAAAAGGGAAAGTATGCTTTATGGTTTCATTTTGTCCCCACTGAAGTGACATAATTTATCTTGCCCAGAGAACATTTTTCAGGTAATATTGTTTCTATGAATCCCACAGGAACTATGAATGAATGAAATGTATTCACCAAAAGATAACTGGGAAATTATGGCAAAGGGACCAATGGTAAGCACTGCATATATTTAAAAATAAAATTGAGACTAAAACAAATGAGAGAATAAAGTGACATCAAAATGTAAATGTTTTGAGCCTTGAGAAGCTACAAAGGACACAACAAATAAAACTCATTGGAGAAAAAGGAATATGGGTGGAGAGTAGAACAGGTTGGTTTGTTGATTACCTCATCTACACTAGCCGGGAGTCAAAAATATCCTTAAAGCTGACAAATCAACAGAAGTATAGTGTACATATCAGTACAAATGTGTAAACACCAAGAAAGAGAACACCCTTAAACTGGGTGATGAAAAAGAGGAAAGGGATACAAGATGAAAAGAAACATTTTAATGTTATTTTTCATAATAGGGAACAATTGATAACATCCGAAGAAATAGATGACGAAGAGTATTACATAAAATTGTAATTATAAACTACTTGTGTAAATATAGAAATCTTTCTCTTTAAACATCAGGAAAAACTAAGACCCCCCAAAATACAAAGAACTAAAATTCATCAAACTGCACACTTGGAGTGGATAAATTTTATGTTATGTAAATCATATCTCTATAAAGCTGTTAAAAAGGCAAAGGAAATGACCACATAATGAAAAGCCTTTTTTAAACTATGGAAACATAAAATATGAAATAAAATAATATGACAGGACTAAAGTCAAACATCTGTAAATGAGATTAACTCACCTATTAAATAAAAGAGTTTCAGATTGGCTCACAAAGCAAATCGCAACTCTATGCTGTCTGCAAGAGACACAGCTAAAACAACGTAATTTAGAAAGATTGAAAATAAAAGAACAAGCAAAGTTTCTCTCTTAATTCCAGCTTCTTTTAAATGATTGTCATCTGTCACAACTCAATAATTTGGCAGTCTGCTAGAATAGTGACAAACATTTGATGCTATTTTACAGAGTGCTTTCATATATACTATCTGTAACTTAACGAGAAAAGTACTTTTATTATTGTTTTACAGACAGGGAACCCATACATAAAAAGTGAAGTGACTTACCCAAGTTCACCTAGCTATTGTTTGATTAAGCTGGAATCAGTCCTAGGTTTTCAGGTCTACTCATCTCATGCCATTTCTTCAACGCTGTTACACATATGCAAATAATTCTCTCTCTTTATAAAAATTGCTTCCATTTTTCAGCATTTCCTTGTTCTATGGTACTCCTGAGACTAGACATTTTATATGTTATGCCCTTAATCCCCATAACACCACCATAAATTAGGTATCATTATCTGCATTTTTCCATTTGTGACTAGAAAGGTTAAGTGAAAAATAAGCAACAAAACTGAGATTCCAAATCAGGTATGCCTCACTCCAGAGCTTGAGGGATTTCTAGTATGTTACTAAAACTGATGTTAGCAAAGCTTGGGACGGAGAAGGTATAAAAGAACTCAAACCGAACAACCAATCCTTAAACATTTTTTATACTTTGTAAAGGCAAATAAAACCTGAGCTGGCTTTACGGGCATATGACCTGTGTAGTCGCCCAGGGCCATGAGCTCAGAAGGGACATGTACTTCATTTAATTCTCTGCTGTACCGCCTTGAAATTCTTAATGCTATCTTTGCATTTGTGTTTTGCAAGTGAAGTTTGATAGGACACTGGAGCATAAGCATGAGCAGTGGAGACACACTCATATGCATCATCTGCCACCACTCCTTGCTGCCCCATCTGCATATCGCCTTCACGACAGCCTGTGAGATTCCAGTGGACCTGTGATGTGTGGGAGTTCAGCAAGACCCAGGGTGGGTACAAGGTAAAGAGTTGTATCTATGACTAAATAAGCAGGGGTGCTGACAGCCCCGAGAGGCCATACTTTCCTTTCCAACCAGAATTTGCTTCCAGTGCAGAGAGAAGGTAATGCTGCTCTAAGAAACGCAACCAAGGAACCCTACCATATCCTTTCTTATACTTGTACTCTTATTCCCTGTGTTAGCCAATGACATATTGAAAATGATGACACAAGGAAAAAGGAAGATAGGGCAACTCATAGTTCCTTTTCCTTTCAGACCTCCTTACTCATTAGTAAGCCAAAGTTTGAGTATTGGTAGAATATGAGTGTAGCAAGAAATGAAATAAAAACAGTAAGTTAGTTTCACATGGTGTTTCCACTGTTCTTGTGAGAACAAAATACGTATGCATGCATAAGTTATGAAATATGTATTATGTAACTTTTATGATTTTGCATATGAGTTAAATGTACTTATACTTGCATTTAAAACAAGCATCATGTAATACAAAAATGAACAGTAACGTTCATGCTAATAATTAAAATTTTTTCTTTACTTAAAATGACATTAAATAGCAAATGAACATTATGACAAGTCAAGAGAGAAACTGTGGAAGAAAGAAAAAGCTATATATTTCAATACCTTCAATGGCACTTTTTGAACAAGAAGCCCTATGTTTTCATTTTGCACCAGGCCCAAATCCATAAATTATGTAGCTGGCCCTAATCAAACACACAGACACACACACAGACACACAGACACACACACACACACGCATATATGTAAACATGAGCTTTTGACAAACAACTGTCCACTTTACCAATACATTTACATTGTAAATATTTTGAGATCTAGAGCTTTCAGTAACATCACCACCTTCAAAGAAAGACCTATCCCCAATGCTCATCAATTCAACTCCATTCCATAGTCACATAATTTTGCACCTAGGATGAGTTTTTCTTGCCACTGACTAACTGAGACCATGTCTGTTATGCCAAATGTGGCAATCTCTGTCGTGTTTCGCTGAGGTGCCATCTCAGTTGCTGTATGTGCTACCAGTGACCTTGCTCAAAGGAGGTGAAGGTCTTAGAGGCTGACCAACAACAGTAAAAAAAAAAAGTAGGTCAATAGGCATGGTAGGTTGACTAATGGCCTCCCCCAAAATAGGTCTGTATCCCTGGACCTTGTAAATGTTAATTATATGGAAACAGTCCTTGAGGATGTGGTTGAGTTAAAATGGGCCTGATTTACAGGGTAAGCCTTAAATATAATCACACGTACCCTTATAAAAAGGAGGCAGAGGGAGATTTGAGGATACACAAAAGAGGAGAAGGCCATGTAAAGACAGAGGCAGAGATTAGAATGATGTGGTCACAAGCTGAGGAATGCTGGTAGCCACCAGAGTTAGAAGAGGAAATGAAGGATTCTGCCCTAGCATCTCCAGGAAAGCAGCCTTACTGACGCTGTGATTTTGGACTTCTGGTGTCCAAAACTATGAAAGAATAAATTTCTGTTGTTTTAAGCCACCAAGTTTTGGTAATTAACTTATTCCTTCATAGAAAAACAAAAAAGAAAAAAGAAAGAAAAACAAACAAAACAAAGCCTCACTCTTAAGGTAGAAAATTAAGACTATAATAGTAGAGAGTTAAAGGAAATTATTTAAAGGCTTTAAGGAGACTGAAAAACCGTTAAAAATAGTCTCGTCTCTTCCTGTCCACAAAAGTTCATGGACCACGTGTAGCAGAACTTGAGAATCAAAACACGATTTTATATAGTCATATTAAGCTATCCCTGATAGTTTGTCATCACAGAGAAAAGCTTCAAGTCGTTCATTAAAGCACATTGGTATTTAGAAAGACATAGTTTTTATAAAGAACAGAGTTTCATAAATGTATTTTATAAATAATTTTGTGATTATAGGACTTATATAACCATTAGAGAGAAATGTGTATCATGACCCTTGTAACAAAATAACACCACCTCTAATATTACCGATTTACAGCCTTGCTTCTGTTAAACTTACTGTCTTCTATTCGTATAGTTTACTCACTGCCCGGTACATAGATTTGCACCTTCAAGAAGTTGATTCACCCTGCAATTGCTGAGTGCTCTGTATCTTTGTTAGGTTCATATCATTTACTCTGTGTTTTCTTCTTTCAAAAAATAAATCTACACAACATAGTCTGAGCAGATATAAGAGAACAACACTTAGTATAGTAGGTCTTTATAGATTCTGGTAGAATTTCATATGAATAATAGATTTTATATCATTAAAACATAAAGGAAACAAAAGCTTATGATCTTTAGATAATTTGATTTTTTAAAATTATGTTAATAGTATTCAGAATGATATGCTTGCCGGTTAGTTTCCTCCCTTTTCCTTGCCCCTCCCCAGGAAGATATACAAATAGCTATTAGGCACCTGAAAAAGTCCTCATTGTTTTTAATCATTAGGAAAATGCAAGTTAAAACCCACACACCTCTAAAACAAAATCTTTCTGTGAACCTTCCTTATCAGTAATGTGTTGGCAAATAGTTAACATCAGCTCTCTGAGGGAAAAAACAGCCCTGATTAGTAGCATTTGCCAGTCTCTTTGGTGTAAGTACTCCCACCGTGGCTGGTATCCAGCCACCCATCTGACGTCTAAAGGTGGAGTCGGGAAGAGATATGCATAGTCAGCTCAGGGTGAGCCACCCCCATGCACCACTGCTCCTTACACGCCAGAGCTGCCACCATCACCTCTCCATTCAGAGGAAAGGCCCATGGGGGACATCTGTCTATCTGCCCAACTGCAAGGGAAACCCATACCCTTGCTTAGAAAAGTCCATATATTCCTTTATTCTTTAAGCGAACAAATAAAGAAGGCTCATCAAACCGAGAGCAAAATCCAGTAACTTAAAAGAGAAGGCCCTGGATGAGTGAACGAGACCCTGGAGGGGGCCTGAGATGATTTAGAGGTAAGAGGGGATTTTATTTTGAAATTTCAATTTGTATCCTCAGAGAGATTCAAGGAGATGTTCCATCTTCAAACATGATAAAAATAGCTCTTGGAAATGTAAATTATTTTTTGCTAAGTAAAATTTCAAGGATGAAAAATGAGACAATTAATATAAAAGAAAAATGTATAAAATTTTTTAATTGCGACCATCTATCAAAAAATGTATTATTTAGATGTCGTATCTTCAAAATATTTTTATTTTAAAATAACTTTAGACTTATGGAAAAGTGCAAAAATAGTACAGAGAGTTATGATATACTCTTACCCCGTCTTCTCCTTATGCACAGAAAAAAGGGAGAAGGGGCGATTCCATGGAAAATAACCTCACAGGGTGATCTGATCATAAATTCCTAACTGGGCAGGTCATGGTGGGCAGTCATGCCCCAGACTATAGCTTTTTAGCAAAAGGTTAATCTTTGCCTTAAGCAAGTGCTCTCCGTTACTATGCATCTAGGTTGACACACCTTTGAAATAAACTACCCTCAAGAGAGCACATAATTTTGTTACTATCCTGTAATCCCACTCCCGCCTTGCCTTCTCTAATCTTACTTATGTTCCCTCCTTAATTTCAAATGCATAAGAGATACAAAACTCATTCTCAGGAGCATTTGAGATCTTCTTGCTCTCTGGCATATGTAGTCAGTTTGGCTCAAGTAAACTCTTACAAAAATTCTGTACAGATTTGGCCGTGTCTTAAATTGACATTTTCTCAGCCTAGCAGGATTCTGAAGAAGCCCGCCAGAACCACCCTGCCAACCAGGAACCACCATGCCCCACTGGCATTGCATCAGGTGGACCTGGGTAAGTTTCTCTCAGAATTGAGAGCTTCCTTGCTTTAAGTAGCAGTTCTTTAATTTAATCACATCAGCAAAGTCCTTTTTGCCACTTAAGGTAGCATATCAATCAAACTCTGGGGATTTGGACATGGATAACTTTGTGCAGGCGGAGGGTATTTTCGCTGTCCCTCATAGGTCAAAATAAGGCTAGAATGTTGGCTTCTACCATGATGACTGAGAAGCCCAGGTCATTTCTTAATTAAAGGTGGTAACATATTTAACAGAGTACTGATAGTATTACGTAGTTTTACTTTACCTTAGGGGAGAAGACCTTTTTAAATTCTGAGACAGTTTCTAGTAGTTTGTTTGTTTGTTTGTTTGTTTGTTTTCATTCAACCTGTCTAATTTTTTAGGTGGCTTGTTCTAATTGTGCATTCAAAAAAATTAATTTAAAAATATCAAAGGATCCTCCTCTTGGTCATCTGGGTATTAAGGGGAGGCTGATGGTCCATGGGCTTGTTGGCCTGGGAGGCACCATTTCCCTTACATGCTCGTCTCTGAACAAGCCAAATGCCGTAAATGTCCCTGTAGGACTGTTTTACACCCAGGAGGTAATGTTTCCTCAGGCAACCCCACGAATATTCTTAGTTGCCTGAGAATACCTGAGCAAGGGCCAGCAAGAGCTTGTGGGAGGCCACTGGAACTGTGACGTTTTCCAAGGCATGAGAGGTTTGAAGATATTACGCTGCTGGCTTTGGAAATGGAGGAGAGGACCACATGCCAGGTGGCCTCTAGAAGCCAGAAAAGCGAGGAAATAGATTCTCCCCTGGAGCCTCCAGAAGGAACTCAGCTTTGCCAGTGTAGGGAGGAAGACGCATTCCTCTACCCTCACGGTTCTTCTGGCTGGTCCAATAAGCAAATAGATATGAGACGATTAGCAAGAGAAAATCACCAAATGTAATACATATGTATATATGGGGACTCCACATACATAAGAGAGTCAGAGATCCCACATGCATGAAAGGTTCAGAGATAGAGGGGGATTGAGGAATATAAGGCATTCTGAGCTATAGCTGAGGTGAGGTGCCTTGGGGGCTTCAAAAGGTCATTGCAGGATGATAAGAGCAGACATTCAGTAAATAGAAGTTTGCCTTGCCCTATAGATAGGTCAAAAGAAGTTATTTCTGATAATTAACTATTTGGGGCAAGGACCCTAATTCAAATTCTTCTAGGTGGTTAAGGAAGGGTCAGAAGTTTCTCTTGAAGTTACCTTGAGCTCAGCACAATTCTCATATCACAGAGGCACATCTTGGGGGTGCGGGGGGCTCACCTGAACTCCCATACCACCATAAGACTTTTAGCTCCATAAGACCCATTTGGGACTTCTGACCTCCATAACTGTAATAAATTTATGCTGTTTTAAGCCACATAGTTTGTGGTAATTTGTTAAAGCAGCAATAAAAAACTAATATATTGCCTCAAAAAAATTATTTATCCTTTTTTTATTTGCCAATAATATAGATTTGAGTGATATAAAATTGGAAAGATAAATTAAGTGACCTACTATAAAAATACCTGAATTTTCTCAGTCTGTGCTATTCATGGCATTTGGAGAGATGATACATCTCTATTAATTCTAGAAAATAAAATTGAATAATCATATATGAGTAAACCAGGCACCAAAATTATATATTTATTCACAGTAAATTCCCAAGACTCCATCACCTGTATTTCTAATTCGTAGTAATTGACTAGAGCAGCTCATTAGATAGATGCACTTTGACAAATTCTAGTTTTGCATAATTAAAGCTGAAGTGAATAAATAGGGCATTTGCGTCTATGTTTCTTATATCAGATGATAAATAAATTGTAATATTATTGGCACATAAACCAATAATACATGCAACATTACCATTTTTATGCCTGGAAGTTTGGGATAATTTCTAAAAGCAATGGCTAATGAGTTGGGGGTTTTTTTCCCCAAAGAGCAGTGAAGAGAGCACGGGAGAAATTAAAAAGATTCCTGCTTCCTTATTTATTTTTGACATGTCCCAGGGATTTTATATTAATTAATTGGAAGAAGTTTTTCCAAATACGTTTTCTAATACTTTCTGTAGTAGCGACACTCCAGATAATGAAAAGCCACCAGCATCTACTGCTGATTTAGGCAATGTGTACAGTTGCTTGTATTGCTATTGTATGGGCCTCTTTTCAGTTTCTTCCAAGTGCCTAAGGAAAGTAAACTTTATTTGAGAATGACAAATATGTTATTTGCTCTCTCAGCATATGGAGGTGAAGAATTATTGGATGGCCTTTATTTTCCTTCTTAAAGTGATATGTTTTCATATCAAAATAATTTGAGTTTTTTGTTTCTTTCTTTCTTAATTTGAAGTAAGATAGTGGTATGCCCCTCAGGTGATAACAGAGATTAGACTATTCAGTGTCCCTAGAGCAGTCCCCCCATTTTCTCTCTTTGCTGGTCTACCTGAGAATACCAGGTTTGGGTTATAGGTCTTCGTCTCCCCAGGCTACACCTGTGTCCCTAATTCCCATAGCTTTCCACTCAGCAGCTGGCAAACCAGGCTGTGCTGTAAAGATGAAAGACAAAGCTGTGGAGAAACTATGACTTGAACTGCACCACAGCCACTCTAACCCAGTGTCCCAGGATAAGCCAGTCTTGTGCGTAGTAGGAGTTGGCCCATGTGGTATAATTTCCTAAGTGCTGGGAAAAGACTTGCTTCTTAAAACATCTTCCCTTCTCTCAATTTCACAGCTACAGTCTCCTCTGTTTCTTTTAAATAGGTGGCTTTTCCCTCCCTTTGTTAAAATGCAGATTTCCAAGAAAAATTAACACCTTGAGGTTTATCAGGCATTTATTTCATAGTGTGGGTAAGTTACCAGATTTCCTCCTGAGAGTAGATTTTGGTGGAAAGAGAGAACATGAAAACCTCGGTAGCTAAGGAACAGTAGGCATTTGTGGAAGGAAATGATTTAGAAAGAGCAGGCTGTTCACAGGGAATCAACATTTTATAGATTATCCTAAAACAGATCTTTTGTTCAAAGTATAATGATCTTTCCATTCTTTATCCTCCCTCATCCTTAAATCTGGGACATTGCCTTCTCCACACCCATAACCACCCTCTCCCTGCACCTTCTACTTCCCTTACCTCCCCACCCCAACCAGTAAGGACATAACCTAGCACTAACTCTGCCCACACTGATGACCACACTGTCGTTACAGCTAGAAGAAGCTGGAGTTGCCCACTTTGCTCTAAAGAAAACAGATTGAAGAAATATTTTAAATACTTCTACTAATATTAAAATATATTAAATATATTTAGATTTTACATAAATACATTAAAACATAATGCAAAGATATGTTAAAATAACAAAAATAAGTAACATCACTTCACACCCCCTAAGATTGCTATAATCAATCAGAAAGACAGATAATAAGTGTTGGTGAGGATGTGGAGAAAAATAAAACCCTCATACACTGCTGATAGGGATGTAAAATAGTGCAGCCATTTTGGAAAACAGTCTGGCAGTTCTTCAAATGATTGTACATAGAGTTACCTTATAACCCAGAAATTCTACTCCAAGGTATATACAAAAAAGAAATGAAAACATATGTCCACACAAAAACATGGGCATAAATTTTTATAGCAGCAAAAAAGCAAATAGAACCCTCATACACTGCTGATAGGGATGTAAAATAATGCAGCCGTTTTGGAAAACAGTCTGGCAGTTCCTCAAATGATTGTACATAGAGTTACCTTATAACCCAGAAATTCTACTCCAAGGTATATACAAAAAAGAAATGAAAACATATGTCCACACAAAAACATGGGCATAAATTTTTATAGCAGCAAAAAAGCAGACAGAACCCAAATGTCCATTGATGAAATGTCGAGAATAGACAAATCTACAGAGGCAGAAAACAGTACTGGTTGCCTAGAACTGTGGGAAGAGAGTGACTACTAATGGGTATGGGGCTCCTTTACCACCATGATGAAAATGTTCCAAAATTGATTGTGGCAATGACTACCCAACTTTGAAAACTACTGGACTGTACATTTTAAATGAGTGAATTGTATGGCGTGTGAATTACATCTCAATAAAGCTATTACAAAAAGGAAAGAGTAACATGACACAGAGGCTGGACTCTCCACACACCATGCTGAGGAATTCGCAAATTCCCACTGGAGCTCAATCAGCCCAGAGATGCTGATCCTGACCCCCACCTGCTCCCCAACAGTACCCCAGGATTCCAGAGAATCTCACCAATCCAGGTGGCATCTAACCCAGCGACCTGTGAACCACCCCGACTCCAATCCCTACCTCCAAATACTATAGACGTCATTGTGTGGTTGTTGAAGTTCAGCTAGCAAGGTTTTATTAAAGAAAACATTCTTATTTAGAGTGGGTATATCTTATAAACTATATATGTATTTAATATATACATATATATTTTAATGTAATAAGAGATTTATCCATGTTATTATAAAAATGAGTTCATTGGCTATACAACAAATATTTATTGAGCATTTTACTAAGCACCAGACACTTTACTTACAGCTGGGAACAGACGAGGATAAGACAACATGAACATTATCTGTGATAATGATTCAGATCATAAATAATTACTTTCCAATAGTGACAATACTGTCTCTCCCTCACAATAAACCTAATGCCACAACCAGCTTCTACTCTGGAACCTGTGTGAAAAAACTGAGCCCAGTTTTAGAGGGCAAATCTCTCTTTGACAAGACAGGAAAATGAAGCCCAGTGAGGGAAGGTGACTTGCCCCAACATCACACTGGGTGACTCTATTAAGCCAGTAACTCTCGAATCATCTGTGAGGCTCTTGAAATCTTGCAATTGTACCACTCCCTGACCAAAGGAGGATGATCAGGAAACATTTCTGGGTGGTGCTGGCTTTTCCTCGTAATATAACAAACGTTGTGAGTCCACCTCCCAACTCTGCACTGAGATGTTGCTGAAAGCTTGCATTTCCATGGTCTTCCTCACCCCCTCTTCAGTCTTTGCCCTCTCAACCAAGGCACCATTGAATTGTGGGACTATCATTCCCTTGCTTAAAGAAGAGTTTGATCAGATATAAATATGTACAGCTAAAGTCATTCTGAAATGTTATAAAGAAAAGTATATTAAAGAAGAGGAAATCATCTTATACATTTGTATGTATTCTCCACATTGCTCAACAAGGTGCTTCTGCAGACTAGTTCTCAGCAGCCACTGTAAGGCACTCGGGTCCATCAGAGATGGCATGAGTTGTGAAACCAGACAAGTATTTTCGAATGAATTTAAATTGGTTGCTGATTCTCTTCTCCTGGAACCTGTTTTCCAAATGACCTTTAGTCATATTTTTATACCTCAAATTCTTCCTTCCCCTATTCCAGGCCATTTTGCAGAATCTCTCTCTTCTCAAATAGATGACTGTGGGACCCACTTTTGTTGTTCACCCTTCAACCATCAGCATCTCCACTGTGGTTCTCGTTGCTTTATAGAAAAACCACTCAATCTAATTCTGAGACCAAATTAAAAGGTCTTTAAAGCTAAGCAATCTGAGGGACAGAGCTGAAGAAAATGACACTCTATTACTGGAAAAACTTCACAAATCACCTTTTAAGCCAGCATTCTTACTGAAATAGACTGCTATGAAACCTCTGTACCATTCTTCAGTGAAAAGAAAATGATGAGGGATCTAGATGTGAATGACTCAGCGTAACCATTTTGTGCTGATCTCATCATTGCCACTGACATCCCCTTCTCCCCTAGTAATTTTCATGAGGACAGTCCTCTGAGGCCAAGCAACAGTTTTGTTAATCCAGGACCAGCTTGCCAATTCGGCACATTCAAGTGCCACACATGGGGTACTTTGGGGGACGTGTAGTGGGTTCGGTGGAGCGCCCCCTGCCCAATATGTACACCTGGAACTGGTGGATATGACCTTATTTTGAAAAAGGGTCTTTGCAGATGGAATTAAATTAAGGATCTTGAGAGGAGGTGCTCCTGTATTAGGGTAGGCCCTAAATCTAATGACAAGTGCCCTCAGAGTAGAAAGGGAGAGAAGACACAGGGGAGGAGGTGACCTGAGGTCAGAGACAGAGATTAAAGGGATACTGCCACAAGCCAAGAAACAGCTGGAACCACCAGAAGCAGGGAGAGGCAAGGAAGGATTCTCCCCTGGAGCCTTCTGAGGGAATGCGCTGTCAACACCTTGACTGCAGATTTCTGGCCTCCAAAACTGTTATTAACTGATAAATTTCTGTTATTTTAAGCCACCAATTTTAAGCTCAATTTTGTGGTAATAGATTACAGCCACCTCAGGAAGTCAACACATGGAGGGCTGAGGGGAAAGACAGAGTGAAATAGAGGCTTCTGCAGTGTTACTCTCTGTCTCTATTTTTTTTTGTTGTTGTTGTTGTTGTTGTTGGGTTTTTGTTTTGTTTTTGAGAACAATTTTTATCTTTTTACTAAGGAGGAAAAAATATTTAATATTTTTGTTGCATAAGGAATAATGTTACTCTCTCTTGAGATGGGGTAGAGGACATGGAAGTGCCCAAGTCCAAGTTATTCCTCTAGAAACGCCACGTACCAAAGAGCACCTGGCGAGAAACACCTGGCCTCCGAGTCCAGACCATCCTGAGAATTCTAGCAGATTCCAGGGATTGGCTGATGTACCAGAATCAGCAGAGCTTGTCTCTTCCTCGGGTTTTGGTTTTTTTTTGCTTCTCCATCTTGAGTAACTTGCTATGTTGTCATGCTTAAAAGATAACATAGAATACGAGTGTAGGACTGTTTACCCAATGACCATCACTAGCACAGTAGTTTGCCCTTGGAGGTGATAAATAAATAAAGGCTGAGTGAAGAATTAAACATGTGGAAGAAATAGCGTTTGCCTCACAACTACTGAGAAGTGGGCTGCACCTCAACGAAGAGTTTCTGATTCAATAGATCTGGGATGGGACCTGAGAATTTTCTTTGTCACAGGTTTCCAGGTGATATTGATGCTGCTGGTCCAAGGACCCCACTTTGAGAACCACTGGCTGTAAAAAAAAATAAAATAAAAATAAAAATAAATTGAACCATTTTCAAATGGAGCTGGAGCTGCCACCCTAGGGAACGGCCTTGCACATTTTCTGCCTCAAACCTTTGGAATGTTAAAACAGAGCAAAATAAACTTTGGACTGGGCCTAAGGCAATACTGTGCCCCGAAGAACCATTTGCAAAGATAACAAGAAAGCAGTTATGATACAAGACTGAAGTTAATAATATTGCTTGGAATTAGCGTTGCTACATTAGCTCATCTGCACCAATAGAAATCCCTTCCTTCTGTTGATGTAATGTTCCCCTTCCCTTTCTCCCCTTGTCTTTGTTTCCTAATTAGAATATTATTTGGGCTTCTGCCTGAATCGATGCTTCTCCAATAGCTATTCTTTGATCTCAAATACATGCTAGCTGCCTCTCACTTTGAAAGACCTTTTATTTTTAGGTTAACATGGCCTAGAACAAAAGCGCCCAGCATTCTGTTTCATGAGTTCAACAACAAAATTACCACTCCATCGAGAAAGCTTTGATCAAAATAAACTATCACAAGCTTCCCTTTCCACCCCTGGCTTATCTGATGACAGGAACAACAACTATGAAGCATGCTTTCGATCCTTCCAGAGCAAATTATCTTTCCTTCATCAATGCTGCATTTTTCTACCTGATGCAATCTTTTTACTCGCAGCCCCCATGCCTTTAGGTAACATTACCTGTTGCCTTGTGTTTTATCAATTGAGCCTTTCCCTGAAGAGGTTTCTCTTCCTCATGCGCAATGACGAAAACCGGAAGAGGGCAGAGCTACCAGGGTTTCTCCCTCTACACCACAGTCTTCCCGTTAACCTGGGAGACTTGCTGAGACTCAAAAGTTAAGAGACAGATGAATTGGCACTAAGTGTGTATGTGCATACAATGGAATATTATTCAGCCTTAAAAAGGAAAAAAAAAATCTGACATATGCTAGAATATGGATGAACCTTGAAGAAATCATGCTAAGTGAAAGAAGCCAGACACAAAACGGCAAATGCTTTTTGATTCCAGCTATATGAGGTACCTAGAATCATCAAATTCATAGAGACAGAAAGTAGAATGGTGGTGCGAGGGGTCAGGGTAGGGGGGATGGAGAGTTAGTGTTTAATGGGTAGAGTTTGTTTGAAAAGATGAAAAAGTTCTGAAGATGATTGCACAACAATGTCAATGTACTTCAGGGCACTTAATGTACACTTAACAGGTAAGATGGTACATTTTATGTTATGTATATTTACCACTTTTTTTTTTTTCTTAAGGCAATAGACACTTGCTTTCCCTTCCCTTTTTAATGTTCCTCTCAGTGTTTGCAGAGCACAAACCCCTCAAGTCAGACAAGGAAACAGAAAAATGATCTGGAGTTTATCACTATATTATTTTTGTTGTTGTTATTTGTTGTTGTTGTTGTTGTTGTTGTATTTTTAAGGGAAGGATAGGTAGAATCCTCCAGAAACGCTTTTCTGGGTTCACACTCCAGGTGAAGCCACACATCTAGGCATGCGCACGTGAAACTGACCAACGTCTCACCCACTTTTGC